TCCTTACTGTTACCTTGTTAACATCAGAGTCTCAGCAATTTACAGAACGATCCTTCTTTCCTTCCTTCTGTCTGTCACTTAAACTGCTTCTGAGATAAGAACCATTTGTCTAACACTAATACTTAATTTAAGACAAAGACATGCATTTGTGTGGTGGTATTCCAAACCAATAATAGCCAACGACCTATTTGCATCTTCAATGTGGAAAAGATTTTAAGAACAAAAAAACTCCCATATAAACTCACTTCTACTCAATAAAGTTGACTTTTAAATGTAAAAAAGGAATTCCAAACACTTAACACATTCTGCTTCATAACAGAAAGTAAATTTATGAATATGGTATTTTGTGATGATCTTTTAAATAAAAGAAAACATTAAGTAATATTTAATGCTCATCTTTATTTCTGAGTCTGCTAAAGTTTTTTAGCCCTCTGCAACATTGCATTAATTTTAAAGTTGTGGTCAGTCCATTTAAAATAGGGAAACTATCAGATTAGATGCCCATGTAGAATGGGGTGTATCTTACAGTAGCAAAGGAATGTCTTCAGTGGAGAGGTATTCTTGTTTAATAAAGCATTGGGATCATATAAGAATGGCATAAAACTGATCAATTAGTTTGCAAATACAGTTAAAATACTTGTGTTTAAGTTCAATTTGAATAAAACAATCCTAATTTTCTTTCTCTGCCTTGGGCTGAATTCCACTGTTGGAGTAGGAAGTAAAGGATACTAGACAGATGCAGAAGTGAAAGCTGCAATTCTTCTAAAAGTTTGTCTCTTGGTTTAATTCATTTTAAATTAAAAGTTTAGTTCTGTTCCTCTTGCAGAGCATTTTATTAAAGTGGAACAAGTTAACAGCCTTAAGTGGACAGATTTCTGGACTATTACTAGAATTTATCTTATCGAATAGGACACAAAGGTCTTCTCATACAGGTCAGTACTCCAGTGAGAGGTCTTTTTCTCTTTGCACTGAGATAAAAGGTGACTGGGCAAGACTGGGTGAACTACTCATAAGCTTAAGCAGCCTTCAGCATGATGACTTCCTCATAAAGAAGTCTATTCTGTAACTTGACTTTGTTGAAATGAAAAATGTACGTGCCTGTTTTTATGGGGTAGTTTGCATTGTTCTAACATTGCAATAGGTTCTCTTGGAGATTGGTTAAAAATACAGAAGCATTTCAAATCCATATCTTCAGCAGAAAGTGGGAAACATGAGAGACTTGGTGTTTTGAGAATCCTAGTAGCATAACTGAAACCCGCAGTAGCGCAGTTGTTGGAGTTCTTAAGTGCATGTGAAAACAAGGATTTACTGTACTTTTTCTGCCTTTTTTTGGTGGGAAATCTGGAGATAGTACATAAGAGCATCTAAATTGTACTGAAAAAATACCATTCTATGTTGATTTATTTTACACTTCACTTGGGCTTTTTAAACTAAGTACAGTGTACTAATAAATCACATTTAGTTGAAGGCAACCTGTTTTTCTGAGACTGCAAATAGTCCCTCTTCACCAATGGATGAGTGGCTAGTGTGTTCTTTTAATGCATATTTCTGAGAAGAGTCCTTCGGTGCAGTTTGTAGCATCCTTGTAACAATACACATTAGTCTGAGATAAACTTGATACCTGGTTTCTCTGAGTATCCAGGGTTACTATTCCTCTGCTCTGTCGTTCAAGTGGCAGGATGAAACCTGTCAGTCACCAGGCAGGGGATTTGGGGTCTTCAACCTAGTGAAATATTCTTCAGAACTGGAAGTAAACTTCAATGTTGGAAACCGGTAATATATTGAATGTCTCCTAACGAAACACTATAGAAACATAATTTATTACTGAACCGAAATTTAAATATCTTGCTGTTGGGCTGGGTCACAGTGGCAAACCTGAATATTCAGATAAATCAGGTATCAAATGTATCTTCTGATGCAGGCTCACCAGTCCTCCTGGGGTTGAATAGCATGCATCCCATGGCATGGACTGAGCTTCTCTACAAAAGGAGAGACCATCAGTTCTACTCATGAATTGCTGAAGTATCACAGCATGCAGTGTCCTATTCAAGGCCACATTTGCCATGTCCTGGACATCTGGCTTTTAGTGTCTTGTTGGTGTTTTAGTGTCTTGGAGATAACATGCCTTTCATTGGTTAGCTACCTGTAGGTACTGGTGGTGCACCAGGGTAGTTTTATGAAGAATATTTGTGTATATGTTCAGCTAATGTAGAGTCAAGTATCATTTTTGAGGTACTCAAAAGTATTCAGTTGGTTTCAGCTTTGAGATTTTAATTCTGAATATAAAGTACTGATGTTTGTATTTAATTCTTAGAAATTTCCTCTGTATGCTTGGATACCAGATTGCTTTTCACTCTTAAGACAGAGCTAAATTTGCAGTGATTTGTAGTAATCAACGTCTTATCTGCCTGGTGGCTAAATCTCACACATTATATGCCATTTACCCCAGGACTATAGGGACTCAAAAATCTGTATTTTAATCTAGATGACACTGAAAGCATCTGAATGTTGTACCACCTTACATTGGCCTTTCTGGTTACTGATAACTGGCTCCACATGACAAACTACATGTTCAGCTTATTTTAAAGCAAAGTACTTTAATGGGCAGGGGACTACAGCAGAAGCCATCTTGAGCTGGGAGAGGGATTTGAAACAATGTAGAATTATACACTGACTCTCACATCAGCAGTAATTTAATCCTTTGACACTAGAAGCTTGACACAGCTGACTTATATGTTGTAATATTGCTATCCTTATGACAATACTTCAGGTTTTTCTAATTGGCTTTGGTATTCTGTTCCACCATGGTTCTTGTACCTTGCTATATTTGCATTGCGTAGAATTGTCCCACCCATAAAGGGCCAGGTACTGCATTTCTGTTGTCTTCCCAAAACTGTTGATTTAAAGCGGAGTGAAGAGGTTCATAAGGAATGCAGTACTGGTCCCAGGATTGTATATGATCATGAGTGTAATCAATTGTCAATGGGTCTAAACTAGTGGTCCCCAAACTTTTCAGGGTCATGACCCCTTTGCCCCTGTCTGTGTCCCCCCTCCCCCCGAGTCAGGGCTGGGAGTGGGGCCGCAGCTCCAGTGGGGAGTCGGGGCTGAGGCTGGGGGCCCTCCATGCGCCCCACAATTTGGGGACGTCTGGTCTAAACGGTAGACTATTTTTTTTAAAATGCCAATTTCACCCAGCAATGTTTACATAGGCCATATGTCTAAAGTGTTTGAGGGATAGGTTGATTTTTTTATGCTGCCAGGCTGACTCACTTTGTTAACACTGCATGCTCAGCTACAAGTTAAAACTTGTAACATTGGCTTCCCTGATACTCCTGTTCTACTCCAAGCAAAACAGCTCCATGGGCTTGAAGTCTTAGTTTTAAGCACTGTTAAAGAAACATATGTGCTACTTGGAAACCCGCAAGCTCTTACATAAAACTCTAGGGTTGGTGTTTAATTGTGTTATCTTTGCCACATGTAATGTCAGGTTGTTTCTGCCTACCGGTTTCCAGCCAGGTTAGTGTCTGAGACTGGATGACTTATGCACACCTTGCTTCCGAGAGCTGCCTCTTTATTCTACATTTAACCAAAATCAGTAAGTACCTCTATAAAGTCCTGCAATTATCTCTCTACTGTAACAAATGTCTAACTTGTACGGCTGTAAACAATCAAATAAAGCATTCTACCCTTGGTAGGGTTATGTGTTCCAATTTAGAAATGATTGTCTCGACCATAAAAAGTGAACACTAGCATGGGAATACCCTTTGCCAGAAGCATCCTAGCATTAAGTGGTGTACAGTAGCCTTTGTAAGTGTAAGGTGGAAGGTTAAAATGTGCAAACTTTCATGTCAAATTGCTACACAGTTCCTATAAATGACTGCTAGTCTTTATTTTGCACTTAGCTCTTCTTTCCACTGGGTGGTAGCATAGCGTACATCTTCAGCTGCAACCTTGCCACTTAGTTACAGCCGTGATGAGGTCAGACCTACAGCATTAAGGCAGGGAGAAGGGTAGGCTGTCGGAAACGTTCGCTCTTCCTTAGTTGAGGCCCGTGCAGTTGTAACCTCTGTTCCAAGCTCACTGGGCTAGACTGATCAGTCATTTCCATATGGCATATAAGGGGTGTCAGCCAACCTTCCCAGGCAAGGTGGTTGCAGATTAAAATCCTTCACACTTGACTCATTTAGCTCTCCCAATCATAGAGGGTGGATTTTCAATGGCACAAATGCAAGTTGGGTGCCTGCTTCCGATGAGTGCCCCTAGAAATCTCCCCCAGTCGATAGTTTCTATGTGGCTTTAGAATACAGAAGTGATGTGAACTGGCACAATGTGCACAAGGCAGCACTGGCCCAAAGGAGCAACCTGTATAAACTTGCCCAGAAAAACCGGACATGGATACATTTTAAAAAGTGAAATGGACTCTAGGGTGGCATCTGAGGCTGGGTCTGCAGTGTGAGCGAGGGCTGTGCTTCCCAGCTCAAATAGACGTTCCTTGCTCTAGCTTTCAGCGAGCTCGCCTGCTAAAACAAGTGTAGCTGCGGTAGCATGGGCCCTGGCGAGCTGCAACCCAGGCTAGTCACCCTGAGAACAAACCCAGCCGGATACCGTGTGTACAGCCTGTGCCATTGCTCGCTGCTGTCCTTTCTACTGTGGTTGGCTGCCCCCTTTTGACTTGAGAGCTAGCGTGAGTAGGTTTACTTGAGCTGAGAATTGCACCCTTAGCTTCGAGTGTAGATGTAGCCTGAGTAATTTATTGCAGTTGGTGGCAGCAGGAGCTTCTACTGCTGACTTTTAATCAGCCCTCCTTTATACCAGCAGCTCAAATCAGTGGGATACTGGGGGTGTGTGTGTGTGTGTGTGTGTGTGTGTGTGTGTGTGTGTGTGTGTGAGAGAGAGAGAGGAGGGAGGGGAC